TTTTTTTTTTAACTAAAACACCCCAGGCACAAAAGCCAACGTGAAGGTGTTCACAATCATGGAGGGGGCAGGGTCTGTCCAGCATAAGATGGAAAACCACTCCTCTTGCATCCAGGCTTGGACCATGACACCCGATACCAATTTTAGGATATTTCTTGGCTTCTYGCTCTAAAAAATGGGTGCTAGTGGTAATTGCTGTGTGGCTTAGTAAACTAGAGATGGTTTTCAAACATCAAAGCCAACAGCCTGATAATTAACACATCTTTTGGGTGCAGTGCGGCTCCTTGGCTTTGTCCTCTTATTCTCTCATTTGAGGGTCCCCAAGTCCTCTGTTCCTGATGTGGAATGAGCTTGCTTGCTCCTTCGGGGTAATGCAAGTTGGCCAAGCCTGGGCCAGTCCATTTTCTGAGGTCATTCTTTCCCTTTGTCCCCTGGCCACCTCCTCTTAGCCTCTTGAGCCCTCAGATGTTCATTCACCAAACATTTAGTAAAAGCCAAGCAATGTGCGGAGATCTAATCTGAGAACAAAATGCTGCTCAGTCATCAGGKAAGCCCATGAATCTATTTTATAYAGGTTTATCTTTTCCCTAGGGGCCTGGCCTTCAGTAACCTTGACATTAACAGAAGTACTCTGTAGAATTTTGGGTTTCAGAGGTACTGTCTGTGGGGCTGATATTTCACTCATTCAGTTTTTTAGCAAATGCTTAGAACAAGCCCAACATTGTGCCGAGGAATGAAACAAATTGTGTGGAAGGTGGACGCTGTCTCCTCTCCTCTGTGTAGACAGATGTTTAGACCTACCTGGAGAGGAAGAACCTGGCACTTGGGCCACATCCACGTGGAAGGTGGACAGCAACACTATCTTGACCACCTGGTCGCCAGACCCTCATAGCCTCTCTGTTTTATTGTTTTTTAGTGACTCGTTGCTCTGCAAATAGAGAAAGTGAAGCCAGGGACACCATGAGCCAACACAGAATTAGGARCAGCGCTGGCTGGTGTCAGTCCAGGCCCAATGTCCCAATTAAAAAGGGATCCCTCCCCTGCACTGCAAGTAAAATCAGGATCAGGATGAAGTCTAGAGAATCTAAAAGTGCATTTGGAGTCACAAGCACACCATCTGGGTTGTCTTTGTTTTGCCATAAGGGGGATCAGCATCCTCTGCCATTGAGCCACATCCCCGGCCCTGTGGTCTGTCTTGGGCATAAGTCTTGGTACTTAAGGTTGTGGGAGGATTTGGCTGCTTTATTCGGAGTGGGTTTCTGAGAACAGATCAGTCCCCCTGCCACCATTGGGGGWTTGAAGCACTTAAGTTTGCTCTGTGAAATCCTGATTGAAAAGAAAAAAATATATTTCTAAGATGAATAGGTATTCAAAGTGAATCCGTTGCCATGACAACCTCCAGGAAGAGCCACTTGTTCCCCTTCATTTTTTTCTTTTTCTTTTTTTTTTCCTAGTGCTTTTGAGCAGTTCTGCAATGCACAGGCTATTTGGACCAGGTGGAGGGTGGCCCCAGGCTCTGTCAATGGAACTACCCTGGGCCTCCTCTCAGTGTCACTTGTCAGGGCTGATTAATAACTGAGGCAGACAGACCCTGCCTCAGGATTTTGTTTTTATTCCCTTTGGTGGGGGGGGGGGACAGTCAAATTACTAGATCAGTGGACGGGTGCATAAAGATSTTGGCTGAGCCAAAGTCCCTTCTTGGAAATATAAGCCATAAAATTCAAAGGTTGTCAAAGACCTTCACACCTTCACTTCTTTAGGTGATTTTATTTCCAGCTGTGAAGTAGCCTTGGCAAGGAGAATTTGGCACAGGAGTCGAGAGACCTGCTTGTTGTCGTAGGTAGGGGACAGCACTTCCCACGTCYAGTGGGGACCAGATCAGCAGCCAGCTGGCTGAGCCTGCTACCACCGAATGCCCATAGTCCTTCCCACCTCCACCAAAGCTCAGTGCCACCTCCTTTTTCCAGGAAAATTGAGCTATACTTGACAGAGCAAAATTCACTTTTTTAAAAAAGTATACAGTTCTGAGAATTTTTTTGACCAAATAACAGTCTTGTACCCAGCGCCCGCAATCAACATAACATTAGCATCACTCCTGAAAGTACTGCATATCCCATTGGGGTCCACTCCTTCCTCCCACCCCTGATCCAACAAACCCTGATGGATGTTCCGACCCTATTATTTTGCCTTTTTCTGAAAGGAAGTAGGATCACATGGACGTAGGTTTGGAATCGCCCATGTGTGCCTGTGTCTCAGGAGCGTGTCCCTTTGCCAAGTCCACCGTGTCCCCTGCCCGGGTGTCCCACACTGTTTCCTTGTTCATAAAGTGAGAATTTACCCTGGAAGTTCGTGGTCCAAGAGCTTCACCTTGTTTGGATCACTGCTTCCCAGGGCTCCCCAAGTCTCCTCCAATGTTGGCTCCACCCATGAGTTACGCACACACTGACCTTTCTGGTTCATATTTGGTTTCTACCAGTGCAGGAAGCAGCCAGGAATTGGAGGGGAAGTGGCAGGCAGGGTCAGTCAGAATCGCCTCCCACCTCTGCTGCATCTCAGATGAAAGATGTGCTCCCTCCTGGTACCCTCGCTTCAGTTCCGTGGGTCCCTGCATTTATTGAACATTGAGGCTTCGAGAGGCAAATGGAAAGAACAGAGCTGAAGGGCCAGGACTGGCCCCAGGGCACATCAGGACCTTTCCCTGGATCTGTTGTCCCACCTGCCAGTGAGCGTACTTGTTTTCGATGGTCTCTCGGCTGCTGTGTGCCCTCCCCTTCCCTTCTTGTTTCTTGTTCCATGCCCTGTAAACATGGTCATGCCTAATCCCAGGGTCACCTGCACAGTTGTGCAGAGAGCTGCCTAAATTCACCAGGGGACACTTCCCCATTTAGACTCCAGTGCAGYGAAGAGTTTCATCAGCTAAGAATGGAGTGGTTCCTCCTAAGACTACCCACACCCCCAAAGAAAGTATTAAGTGGCTACCTTCGGGGTCTGTCCCTAGGAGCCAAGACAGGCATGAAGACAGAGTCACCTCTGTCAAGTCCTTGCTGTTGCTGACGTCTTGCTCAGCTGGAGGTCATATTGAGCCTGCCCTGTGCCTTTGTCCCGATAGGCGGTGGCAGAGCTAGGACCAGGCGTGGCCATGGCCAGGGGGTTGGTGACCACACCTCTAAGCAAAGCCTTGGTCATGGGCTGCTCAGTGAAAGGTGAGCCCTAGAGGGCAACTGGGAACCTCTCCATCTGAATTGGGGACAGTGTGGGATTCAGGCCAGATGAAGGTCAAGGCTGAGAAGGCGGAACTCAGGGTCCCAAGGTGGGAACCAAGGCTGCTGAGACCCTCCAGGGTTGGGTTCTGTGTGGAAGGACTCTCCATACCTCCCACCCAGGAGCTGTGGGTTTCCTAAAGGTGAGGGACCCACTCCAGGTGCTGCAGGTCAAGGTGGGTCCAGGAGAGGACAAAGACCAATGGAGGCTGGGCATGGCTCTGGAGGACCTAGGTCGGACGGTGTCTTGGGGTGGGGGTGATGACCTTTGGACTCCCTTGGTGGTGCTTGGGGACATTCGTACATGATACATACAATTCCTGCAGGTTTTCAGGGGGATTTCTAGTGGATTGCAATGGTAGAAGGT